ATGTGTAGTACAGGAGTATATTGTTTGGGGGTTTTATCTTGTGCTTGATTTGTATTTAAATGTTATTTTTATGACAGCAGAATAACCAGAATGAAAATGTGGAGAGTCCTTCTGCTGTCACAGCTTATTTACTTTGGAAAGTATTTAGTAAAGTATTTACTCTTTTGCTACTCTACATGACCATCCCAGGAATATCTCAAGAGGTACTGGCAGACCTTTCTGAGGGGACAGATCTCTAACTCTAACTTAGTAAGAAGGCTGAAGACATATTCCCATAGAACTACTTTTGTATTCCATAACAGAAACATCCTGCATGTTTATCAGGAAGTTACTCAGATGAAATTTAGTTAATTATAGGCACAAGAAAATATCTGCTGGCTCTGGGATATTCTTATAATCAGGACTCTTTCTGTTCAATACCTAAAGAGCAGAGATAAAAATTTCCATCATAAGAATAGTCACATTCACCAACATTTTACAGTCCTTAAGGAGTAGCAGAAAGCTGTGTTTTACCTTAATCTGTTCAAATTTTTTTTCATTAAATGCAGAAATGTTTAGTTCTTAAAGATACTTTTTATCCATTCCTCTGTGTTTGCAGAAACAGATCTTTATAAGGATGCCTTCACAAACTTACATTAGCTTTAAAAGGTGTGTACTGAAGCTGAATTAATACCAGATCAAGAGAAGAGAGAAAATTACTCAGTATGAGACAGGATGTGATGGAAACAACCCTTGTTTAGTAGTGACATATAATATCCCTTCTTTTCTGTAACAATCTAAACACACGTTGTAAAGAACCTGTAGGTGAAGGAGTCTCCATCTGCCTTAACATACTGTCACCAGCCAACAGAAACCATCACAGTGGAGTCCTAGCGAAGTTTCCAAAAGCAAGAAAATGCATGTGCATGGTATGCATTTAGTCCTGTGTCTTTGGAATCACCAATTAAGTCACCAGCTTGTTCAAAACGCTGATTTTGACTCGTTAGTTATGCAGTTTCCATCTCTCAAGCTAAAAACACCCAAGTTGTCATATTCAGAAGTAGTGCACATGAGATAATATGCTTTGAGATGGAGGGTTTAAAGTTGAATAAGTAACTTTCCCAAGTAACAAGAGACCAGCTGTGAAATTCTATTTACCAGCTCTACTGGAAAATAATTAGATACATATATTTATATATAAGCTCTAAAAAACAAATGAAAAAAAAAGCAATTTTAAAATAGAACACTCAAAATAACAGTGTATGTGCATGTAAATGCATGCATCATAATGTTTAATAACCTAAAAGGGGAAACCACATTAAAATACTTCTGTTCTTTAGCACTCATTAAAGACACACCAAAAAAAAAAAAATCAGAAAAACAAGTTTGCTTTTTTTTAAACTACAGTTTAATCAGATTTAAAGACACAAATTAGAAAAAAACATTTATAGGCAAGTTAAAAACACCTTTAAAACATAACAGCATGCTGCTTCTGCAGCACTGCTGAGACAAATTAGAAATAAGTAATTATTAAAATATCACAATCACAGTGTAACTAACAGTGGTATTTTAATTTTACCATACACCAACACTTAGTTTATGGATCTGTTGAAAAATAACACTTTTTAAAAAATATATATTTTGGAATAATAAAAATGAAATTCACTGACAATGCATTATAATCTGAACCAGGAAAGGCAAATTTGGGAGTACTGTAGCTATCCACTTTGAGGGGTGTTATCTCACCTTAACGTATGGGTGATTGGAGGCATAACTACTTCTGCATTGAGGTAAAACTATTCCCTTCAATCTGTAACCAAGGCAGGAGAGAAACAATTTCCATATTTTATACTATTAAATTGAATAACTTAGTACAATGTCTTTGAATAATGCTATATTTACCCATCTTACACGATTTTTCTTTCAACACATTTTGAATGTTCTCTAACTGATCTAGAACACATCTGAGGTCTGGGACTTAAGAATCACTACCTAATTACTATTGTACCATTTTGACGCCTTTTGTCACAGTAAGACATGTTAGAAGATTCTTCATTGGAATAGTCAACACCACCAGACAAAAGAAGGTACAAAGAAAAGATGTAAAGAGAGCTCAAACACATAGAAAGGCAAAATATGCATAGGCAAATACTCCTTAACTTATTGTAACAAAAGATTGTTGCACCTTTAATATGCAGTGTTGCACTATGCTGATTACTGGTCTTTGGGCACCCTGTTTCTCTTTGTTTCAGATGACATTGTCAGTTTGGAAGCCTAATCCCACTAGAGCATGGATCACAGCTATTTGTTCATATGACAGTGTAGTGAAACCTAAATTAAAATATAGCTTGGGGCATATCTCCCTTACAGAACAAAAGGAAGGAAGATTGTACAGATGTCTCTTCTGCCAAGACATTCACCTGGAATAAGGTGCTGAACTCAGTCACTTTGAATATAAAGTTTCCTCTGAAAGTGGCTCTAACTCATATTTCAGTCATGTGTCTGAAGTCGAGCTTTGTATTCACAGCCTGCAGCAGAATAACCTGTAAGGGTTGGTTTTGCAACAGAGTAAAAGAAGCCCTTTACTCTCCACTTACGAGTGTAACCAACAGATTCTAACTTCACTTTAGGAAGCAGGAAGGTTAGTACTCTTGAGAGCAGAGCCCAGTAGCCTTCAGCAGATACGCTATAGAACCAGAGGGCTCAACACTAGCCTCATGTAGATACCGACATGGCCTACTACTTTAAGTGTATTTATGCACACTATATGCAACTTCAGTCTGTTAATTCATAAAGTTTACCCAATGTTTATATGGACATATACATGGATTTAAAAAATTAAAAACATGTCTAAAACCAAAACCAGGCCTAAGTCACTGCACACACAGCTAATGCACAGATGCTTTTGCACATTTCGATACCCAAAATGAGCAAAAATATCTTTTAAATACTTAATGGCATGAAAATTGATACAGCTGATAATTAGATTTTGTAAAAAAATATAGACAAAGCTGATCTCAAAACAAGTTAAGATTTTTTTATTTTGTTTTGACCATAACAATCAACTGTTGCAGTATTTGCAGTTGTAACATGGCAGGGTGACTGTGGATGCCTGGATTTCATGGTGTTTGCCAAACGTCTTGATTGAAACAGCAAACACATAAAAAAATCTAGGGAGGTGTAGCATAGAGCTGTTGCAGCCTGGGTGACAAGCAAGCAGATCCTCTGTCAAGCTCAACAGATATGGTCAGCTCCCCCCAAGAAATGCTGTGGCAAATCCTCCCAGCCACTGATGGATGTTTCCTAGCAGAGGCTTCTTTACAGCCAGCTTTTCCACCATGACTATGAACATGATCGAGACCAACAGTGCAAACTAGCTTAGATATTAGATATATATATATATATATATATATATATATTAGATTTGGTAATCTAATGAAAGCCAGCTCAATTCACTTGGTAATCTAGTAAGAGTAGGCTCAATTCACATGAGCATCTGCTTTGATACTTACTCGGCATAGCATTTAAATACCTGTTCAACTTTAAATACACATAGCCAATTGATTTTTTTACCAGGAAATTTAAAAATACTTCCAAGTGCTGTTCAAAGTATTACTGGAGGTAAATACACACATAAAGGCTACTCATGTAATGAAACACTGTGATGAATTAGCATGGAACCATTATATATGTTTTATACTTCAGAGACTGCTTCATATCAAAATCCTTAAATTTATTTCCATCCGTTTTTCTAACACTGATCACTTTCACACAAATGACAGTATTTCCAATTTGTCATTGAAAATGAAAGAACTCAACCCTGATTTCAGAATTCAGTGAGATTTACAAAGCGAAAAACTTAAGGACAGGGGAAATGAAAGCCAAAATTAAGAACTTGTGCTTTTAACTTTCTCATTTAAAGCCAACTTGCAAAGTTGAACATGTGAAAGTTTACATGTAAGCAGCTGTGACATATTTGCAGGTGAACGTGAGGACACATTTGACCATGTATTTAAACAAATTGTCAACGATTTGCTTGCAAAGGTTCCAAGAGAAAAATTCAGACTCTGTTAAAATTACTTTTGATATGAATTTGACAGGATGTGAAGAGCTCATAAGGGTGTCCTCTGCATCAGAGAACATTTTAACACTAACCAAATCAATGCCATCAAAAGAGGCACAACTACCTACCGTGCACCCTGTCATACAAGTGTAGCAGTTATATTCGTATGACTTATTCCCACAGGGGAAAAAACAGGTTATTTCAGTGTAAGATTTTTCTAATAAACAATATATTATACTGGTAAACCTCATACCACAAGTCAGCGTAGAGCAGGGAATGTACAAATACCTTTGTAAAGTCATCTTACTAATATGAATTCTTATCAAGAGCATATTGAAATGCATACCAATATTTTTACATGGTAATATATTTTAAAATTTCACCTATTACTGAAACCTTGTCTACATGTCAACTTAAGGAATGGCCATGGAAGAATAAGTTTTCCAAATACGGGCATATGTGTAAATGTAAAGCTAACAAAGCCTTCCCAATAACAACAGTAGTAGGCACCACTGACAGTATTATTTAAATATACAACTCTTTCATTAATACAGAATCATAAAGGTTGAAAAAGGTTAAGCAAGCAAATAGTTATTATCAGGGTGACTACATTTACTAACATTAACTCATTAAGTGCCTGAATGAATTGTTCACAATAGGCAAGTATCTGCAAAGCACCATAAAATTATGAATGATATGTTGTATTTACTTCTCCTAGTGTGCTGACCTGCAATACAGAAAACACCTTTACTTTCTGGATATACATTAGTTAATAAGCAGAAGAACACTTAAAACCAGGTTTCCTTCATGCCCAAAACTTCTCTAGGAAATTTACTTTTTCCTGTTTTTCCCAGCAAGAGTAATAATAAATCACCACCATCCTTTCAAATTCAGTATTATAAAATGATGTGTGTAAAACGTAAAAATTATCTAAAGCATTGGGGCTGGCTGCTTTTGAGACTTTGACTGAATGGATAAAAAAATCCAGTGTGATAGCAAGGCAGAAAACTAGTAAAGCAGAGGGAGAGCAACAAGAAAATCCCAGTTTGACTGAAATCAGAGTGCTGCCATTAGAACAAAAAAGCCTCTTTCCATCGTCTCCAAGAGACTTGCATGAAGATTTGCATGAAGAGTAGGTTTTGGTTCAAAGTACTTTTATATTCAGCGATGCCATTTAAAGGGTAAAGTCTAGGACACTACACTTGAAAATAAATTCCGTGCAGAACTAATTAACTGCCATAATTTCTTGTGTTGCACTTATTTAAGGGGTTCAAATAATGAAGAAAAAAGTCACAGCCAATTTTGAAACCCATATATCTTACCACTTGTGCCCGACTAAATAATGTACTTATTTTCTTAGTTGGCAATTTAAGCACATACAAAAGTTCTGAATAAAACTGTTCCTGTGAATCCACTCACACTGAAGTACACACCTTCGCTATCATAAACCTGCCTATTTTCTGGGAGTGCTTACAACTACATTTGTATTTCATAATGAAGAATTAGTAAGCCTCCACCACACACATGGGCACACATGCCAAAACAAGAGTACCAGAATATGAATGGGAAATTAATGGCACATTAGATGATGTACTGGTATTCGAAAGTGCTTGTTTGATACGTAGGCTGCACCAGAAAATGAATTTAAGATCAAAAGCAACAAATACTGAAAGAATCAACTCAATTTTATTCACCCCCTCAGAAATATGCAATTCAGATTTCTCATTTTATGTAAATGTCCCTTCAGGAACAGAAAGGGGGAAAATCTCTTTCCTGATTCTGTACCTAGTTAAGGATAATAAAACATAAATTAGTGTGCCCTTACTGATAACCAACATAAAAAAAAAAACCCAAGCCATAACCCCATGTCAAAGAGGCATGTGAAAACCACAACCCCATGTAAGGGGAGGTCTACTTGGGTAGGGGAAGTAAGGACTGAGTCGTCAGATTACTTCATTTTAGAGATAACACGTCTGTCACTGAAACAACAAACATCCCTACTCATCTGAACAGACTCATCCACTCTCATATTTAGTTCCCCCTTTCTAATTGTGTACATTAATTAGAGCTAACCTATACTTACGGAAAAAGCATGTTATCCTTCTGAAGTTTTATGCCAAAGGCCAGACAAAGAACTAGGACAACAAGGAAATAACTCTGACCTGACTTCAGATCTGGTTCTTGAGAGAATAAGCCAGAAGTACTGCAACTCTTTCTGCACGGTAATATCCCCAAATTTGAGGACCATCGTTGCACTTCTGGTACTAAGAATATTGACCCCACTAGTGCCAGATACTTGATGAAAACTTTAAGGTTCAAAATATTATGACAAATTTTTTCTCCTCGTTCATTTGTAGGTTATTAATCAACAAGCTGAATTATCTGGTAGTATTTTGTGTCAGTTTTAAAGCTAAAAGAAAAAACCCATGTAGATAAACAGTTTGTGTTTACTTAAAAAAATTATATGAAAATACAGAATATAAGGAATTAAAATGTAGCCCTTTAACAGTAGAACTCTAACAGGGACCACCATCACAATAAATGGTCTGGAATAGATATAACCACTGAATTATTCCCTTGACACACTGTCATAATTCAGTAAATCAGCTATTCTAAAGGATTTATTTCTTTTATAATGTCACTGACAAATGAGATGTGAACTTTGCATCTAAAATTCTAATTTGAAGAAAAAGCTTTTCCTCAAATTCATGTACTTCTTTGGATAAAGGGAAATCAATTATCAAGCATACAGAAACTGGTTATTATAGCAATTTCATGTTTGACCATGTTTGCATTAGGGCTCAAGGTAATTTCACTGCATTATACAGAAAGCATCAAATAACTGTTGTATGCCTGAAAATTGAAAATAAGTATTAAAAATCGTGTTTTGTAAAACAGTTCTATGCTAGAACAAGTATTTCTGGTATTTAAGAGTAAAAACGCACTTTCATTGAAATCCTGGTGCTTGCACGTTGGGTTCTGTGTCCTACATCTGCCTTCTCTAGCAGCAAAGCCCATCTGGCAGTGTTTTATTGGGTTTAGGTGCTTCAAAGTAAAAGAAACCTAAATTAGGGCCATCAAGACCTAGAAAAGGTGAACCTTTAGGTGTTTTATATTTTGTTGATCGATTCAGAAGGGCTATGTGTAATTATACTCTTTATCAAAGAAACCTAACTATAATTTGGCATCAGTAATGCTTACAGTTCTGTAATGTACTATACTAGTTTGAGATACTTTAAGAAAACCCTCCAAATACTGAGATGCTTATTGCAATTCCCTTTTAAAGATTCAAAAGCTTTCTAATGACTTTGCATTTCCTATTTTTATCTTCTTTATAGCGTATAGTATTATATATTTGAAATATGCTTTTCACATAAAATCAAACTTGAAAATACCCACTTAGAAACAATATTTCAGTAAATAGAGGGTTTAAGGCAAGTCATTCACTTGGAAAAAATCCATTTCCATTTGTTAATACTAGATTGACACAATTTTATTCCACCCCATCAGTGCCTTGGGATACAACGTACATTCAGCAAAGGGCACACATATGACCCTATGGACATACGTTGCAAGTCCTGAGTGCCCATTGAAATAATGGTAATATCTTCATATAAGGCGTGACCCACAGGGACATGGCATGGGAGGGGTTAATTTGTTTTGTTTCCAGTCTTGCTATTGTATGTGATTTTCCTAGGTAGGTAATGCATTCTTTTCTTACTAAACATCTTTGCAAACAAATACAAACCCCTTTAAAAGGTGCTAAAAATGGGTTTCTGAAAACATATAAAATATATTCATCATAGTATTTCCTCAATCACTGTTTCAATGCTTGATATCTGCAGGTTATTTCTTGCTTTTGACTGAAACTATTATTTGTTGTGGAATAACTGTTCTTTTGCAAAAGATTTTCTTCTTCTAGTTTTTTGGACCATATGGGCTGGACGCTTTCATGCCTTTTACTTCCTTTTTGAGTTCTTTTCAGTGGAAATACCAACAACACCAGGATGCTGGCAATATGAAGACAGAAATAGCAGGAGCTAAAACACAAACAAAAATAACAATTCAGTAAAACCTGAACTGCTCTCACACACAGGATGTCTAAGGAATACACTGTCAAAACCTACTTGCATTATTTGCATGTAAAACAGGAAGACATTAATATTTCCTTTAAGAAAAGTAATAAAGGGGAAATCAGAGATTAAGTCTTCCCTCATAGTACTTGGTGCTGTAGCAGAGATTTAAAGTGAATACAAGTCTGCTTTCAACTTTTTTTTTTTTTTTTTTACAAGTTACTTTTGGGAAGTCATTATCTCGTATTGCTCTAAAACTATTCCAGTGCACACAATAATCCCAAAGGTACTCTCTGGTTTTCTTCTTGCCTGCTGTTTCCCCTCCCCACTCCCACCCAGCCCCAGGAAACGGAAGTCCATTATAACAGGAAAATGAGAGCACTTTCTGGTTTCCCACAACACAAACGATGTTTGACCACTAGAACAGAAATAGTTTGCTCAGCTAACAGATCAATCATAATTATCACTAAAAAAGCTTCCAAAATCTGATGCCATAGAAAATACAAAGAAAACGGAAACAGGTAGAATGTGCTTACCTGTAAAAGGTGATAGAAGGTTTTACAGAGAGCAGTACAAATGGCACGACTGTGTAACTTATTGCTACTTGAGTTGCCATCCACGTTACAATATCGTAACATAGTTTAACAGCAGGAGAGTCAAGAAAATAATGTCTGATATTGTTTCTTATCTGAAAAAGCAGATAATAGTAAATTAGCTTAGGAATAACTTGGAGAGCTATCTTACTGTACAGAGTTTGGTGCACTTCTACAAAATTCACAGAATGAATTTAAATGCTACAGCGTGGTCAATCATCTCTGAACTATCCAAAATGTCCATCAACTTTAATAGGAGCCAGTTCAGATTCCCTGTCTTTTAGGATACCGTGCTGCATCCAGCACAGGAATTTAAGTATTTCTGAATTTAAGCAGAATTTAAGTTAATCCCCCCTAAATCCAGTGCTTGTCTGAATGAGGCAGACATTGTATCTCATAAAGCCATTCTGTAAATAGTGTTGGAGTAAATTTAAAGCCAGAGTGCTTCTGTTGAAAACTTGTATATGATAAGCCTTTTTCACATACTTGCAAGTAAGACGTATTTTAGGATGAGTAGGGTATAAATCACAATATACAAAATATCAGGTCTAGTGACATTTCAGGAGTCTTGGTAACCAGTATCAAGGGCACTATTATAAAATTACTCAGTTTTCTATGCTGAGTCTTTTGTTCATATAATTCTGGGCAAACAATGGAATACCAAAAGTATTAAAAAAAAAAATCCAAAACCCACACAGGTTTGGGTTCAGTTTTATTTAAGTCTATAATTAAAAAGACATTAGCAGATATTCTTCCCTCCTTCCTTCAACAGAACTGTCATCCTTGCTCACACTCTTAATTTTCTGACGCTCTTATTTGAGCTTCTGTGCCACTGCCACCTTCCAGTCACCTGCATTCTGATGAGTTGCACACCAAAGTATACAGTTTAGCTTTTCCAATCTTCAGTTTCTTTAAGACTCCTTGTTCAGAAGAACATATCCAAGGCTAGCTCCTGCTGATTTCATTCTTTACATTAAAAACCTTTTTTATCCTTCTTGTCCTTCTTACCCAAATTCACCTGTAGAAGTCACTCTAGCCACATTCCCTTCATCCTGCTATCTCCCTGCAGTTTTCTCCTACTGTCACATGCAATGACACATTGAAATGTGAAGTACCACCTTCCCCTAGCTATTACAGCAACAAAAAACAGCCTGCTTCATTTCTTATTCTCCTAGTTCTTTTAACAGAAAAGTGGTCTGTTGTGCTGCTCTGAGCTGATGTGATTTGTTTGTTCCTCTTTCCCAATGAGAAACTGATAAACCTGCCTCTGCTCTTAGCAGCTTTCTCAGGCAGAACTGTGAGAGATTTCTTGGAAGATTTGCTGGTTCCATACAGTTCTGAATAAGGGCTTCAAAAGCTTGTTAATATGACTGCACTGCTGGCTGGCCAGTTTTGAATAGTAACTGCATGAGAGATTTTTATCTGCTGGTTGAGGGGGAGCATTCTTTAGCTATCATCTTTACAAGGTACTGGATGGAAATTAGGGAGGGAATGGACTTTGTCGACATATAGCATTGGCTCACAAATTTTAAGTTACTTATCAGTGATTTTTTTTATCCATAATTAGAACTTTTTTTCAAAATGATCTTGGATAACATCATTCTTTTCATCGCGGCATAACAACACATGGTCAATTAATCCAGAGAAAGAGCTTCCACAAAAGATATGATACAAAGACTTTATAGGCTGTATACAGTCTTGCTTGTTTCCACTGATCAACCCCTTCCCATAATTAATCATTGCCACTGCTCTCATATCTAAGAAAAGTAAACACCACTACCAAACAGAGTGTATATCAACTGTAAAGCATGTTATTGGACTACAGAACAGGATCGATTTCCTTTTACAAAACTTACTATTATTTAAGTAGATACTTGGTTGGTACTTACAGCTCGTGCTGCTAGTGTCATTAGTACTCCTGTTAAGAATGTTAAGTAATATCCTGGGTAAACCCCATGCCAAATGGCAGAAAGGATGAAGGTCTGGATCGTTGGGCTGAAGGCAGCGCGCTCATAGCACACTCTGGCAAGTCAAAGACAAGTCAAGACAAATAACATAAGATAAACCACCAACAGTCTTCCCAGTTATCAATTATACATTTGTACTTTTGGTAGTTTCTTCTCCAACACAACATTTACAATGCGACTGCAGTTTACAATTATATACCAATGTTGCCACTATATTATGACTTACAGAAAATACTTAAAGCTATTTGCAGCTCCCAATTTAACCCCTCAGTGCTAACTTACTCTCAGTGCCATCACATACAGTACTTATTTATAACAAAGTGATACACAAGCATCCAAAGACAGGTGACAGTGTTAATAAGGGATCTTGGGCCATCCAAGAACATGTTGGAAAAGCTGCACTGTAAGGCAGAGAGCACCCCACAAATTTCTGTGACAAGTCAGAGGTATATTTTTCATAAAATGAAAGCATTTTATAGGAGAAGGGGAAAATAACAACTACCTTCAATTTTGTGTAACAGAGAGACTACAGTGGGTAATGTATCTGTGTACGGCAATTATGTGAGCATGACGATGAAACTAATGATGTGAGAATATCAAAGAAGGAGAATGCTGAACTCTGCTACTTAAAATTTGAGACTCTGTGTTATTACACCAGGTCCTACAGTACGGAATCCTAGAAGGAGAAGCAGAAAAAGGAATCCAACACAGGTAGTTCCTAGAAGACATTAAATGACACAATGACAAACCATCATGATGTGGAAGAATGATAGGAAACATGGTAAGGTCCTGATATGGATGGCTTCATCAAGATTTCTTTAATGTCTTTAATGATCTGAAAACCAAAAAGCAATAGCAAATATGGAAACAGATACACACTAACATGAAGCAAAAATAAACAGCACAAGCATGCATGAACACAAATCTAAAGCTAATGCACAAAAATGAGTTTTAACTGAAATGGTCATAGATACAAGCATGTAAAAAGATTTTATAAGCACACAGCAAGTAACAGAGGAAAACAATGTATGGCTATTATTCAAAGATGACAAGCTAATAGAAGATCATACATAGGGATGAAACATTCACTGCTAATGTAACTACTACGACGTCCACATACACAAGAGACTGGATACAGTTAAAGAGAAGGTAAAAAGCCAGGATCTGAATAGGGGAAGATCAAAAGTATATTTTGCTGACTTAGTATATTCCAGTCAAGTACTCTGATAAATTTCATTCTATAAGGTCTTCGGTGCAGGGTACCAGCTCAACCCTCCTCTCCCTGCCAAGGGGCTTCACTAACAATGGCCATTAAGATGAGAACATGGGGTTAAGCAGGGTGCAGGTGCATACATGTGTAATAGACAAAGCTATCTGAGGACATTTGCCCAAAACAGACCAACTCAGACATGAAAGTAACATGGGCCAGACTAAACAGCAACCAGGGAATTTGAAAGAGACTTTCGACACAAAGAATCCCTCAGCCTAGAATGTACAAAAGCATTAGGAAAATTTGTAACAAGTCAGGGAGACACCTTGGAGCAAAATACTAATAATGAAAACTTGGTCTGACGCTGATAGAAGCTGCCCCACCACCATCATGACCTCTGTCTTGGCCAATGCAGAGCATCCTCCCTGGTAGATGCCAAGTGGACTAGATCCAGCCAGGGGCCCATCACTGCAGTTTGCAGTACACAGGGAGCAATGTCTCATCCCTATCAGCTGTGTACATGTGAATTTGTGGTATGCTTGTCTAATAGGCACATGAATCCAACGTTCATAGAGCTGGAGAACTTGCATCTTGCACAGGCAGTGCACACAAGCACGGGCCCACAATTCCAGAAGGAGGGATGGTTTTGTATCTCATATGTCCTTGGAATTGGAGGTGCGGTTTGCATATAACTGTGTATGTACAAGTGCACATTTTAAACTTCTTGGGATTAGTTACAGAGAAGTGTTAAGAAATGTTGATTAAACCAGAACACTGAACATATACATTGTTATGTGTTCCAGTGCTGGTATTAACTGAATGTATATTTCACTGACTGGTGGTTAATTGTCTCATTAAAAACATTTAACTACTTTATGAAAATTGCCCCCTGCAAAGCATTCCAGAGTTTAACTAGCAAAAGTTAGATAAGATTTACTCTAGGCTTCAATTTCAAAGACTAAAAAGTAAGCCTAAACAACTCCATGAATTAGTCAATAACAAGTAGTGTTGAAATGCTTCACTTGACATTCCTAAAACAAAATCAAGGAAACAATTTTCATCACAACAGGCTGAGAAAATCTATTCAAATACAGGTGACTCAGGTGAACATATCCATAATTTGCTCCAGAAGTGGAAAGAGTTATCAACTGTTCAGGAAGGTACTGCTTTTGGTCTGGTTCTATACTGTCATTACTAGCTTGGGTAGACTGAGTAGTATATGTTTCCAGTTTGTCTTCCCTTCCTTTTTTGGGGTGGAAGGTAGTTTGGACAAGACTGACATTGTTTTCTTAGCAGACAGAGCACTAGAATCCAAAATTATCTCAATAAAGTCCAAAGTATAGACCATCTAAGAAGAAAAGCAGAAGATATAAACAAGTACCCATTCCTACAGAATTTAGCCAAATATGAATCAACACTATGCAACACTAAGTATCAGCTGAGCATGAATCAACAGTACGCTGCTACTGCAAAAAAGATGTAATACTGTGATGTATTAAGAGTATTATCTAAAGACAATAGAGGTAATGAATCCACTTAGATCATTCAACTCTGCCAGTAACAAGCCAGGGAGAGACTTCAGAAGTTGTAGCAGAAGTATTACATCCACTGTAAGAAAACAGGAAGTTTGGACAGATGCCAGAAGAGAGCAACAAGAACCACAAAGGTTTTGCAAACATGACCAAAGACAAATGGAGTTAGGCATTTTCTTTAGAAAAAAAAAGAATGAACTTCAGCACTAAAAGGAGTCTCATTTAGAATCATTTCATTTAGGAAAGTCGAATGTTTTTTGAAACGCAACCTTTTCCTATTAAGTTTTAATACTGAAAAACTTCCGTTCTCTAACTAAAATAAAACGCATTTTAAAATATCTAAATAGCTTACTTGCCTTATTAAATGATCCATTTCAATACCTGAAAGCATGCAACTCTTCCTTGCTGGCTGTCCCAGCAATAGATTCTATTGCCTATTGAGCCAAATAGAATAATCACATAAAATTCAGCTTCTGTTTTTAACTGGGTCAGAAAAATATTTAGGAATGAAATTACGGAAGAAAAAGGAACACCGGATACACTAGAATGTTTCTTCCACCAGATTTCTTTCTGTTGCCAGTCATCCTAGAGAAAAGATAAAGTCCTCCGAGTGATGTCAAGGCAGGGGTCTTGGTCAAACTTGTCCCTATTGATAAAAGATCACAGTATCACAGTATCACAGTAGGTTAGAGATTGGAAGGGACCTCAAAAGATCATCTAGTCCAATCCCCCTGCCGGAGCAGGAACACCTAGATAAGGTTACACAGGAACGTGTAACCTTATCAGATCAACTGAACAGAGACTGGGAGAAGGGAAACCACACCTGTGTGCTACTCAAGAACACTTTTTTGCTTTTTATTTACCACAAAGTAGTAGTAAAAGTAGAATGATATAGTTCACTGGGTACTCACTATACCTGTTTCCCAGACAAGGAAAGAAGTGCCTCTGAGGGATATTAATTTGCAGATTTTATTGACAGCACATTGTAGGGTTTGGTATTTGCCATGCACTCACTATGGAAGGAGCACAGAAAGTTGTCTCACAGAATGTATGGAAATTCCTATATCACTGTGTGGCTAAAACACTGCAGAGCTTCCAGAGGCTAAAAATGTACATTTTGCCTGCTACTCGCAGTGACATGCGCTGCTTTCAATGCTAAGAGACAGCAAAACAAGAGATGTCTCCACAGATTAGTAGTTTTAGATTCCCTATGACCAGCGAAGAAAAAACAGTTTCTATCACAACCTGATAGAAAGTTACTCTAAAAGAGAAGCCCGAAATTCAGAAGCTTTAATTCAAGTATTACAAGAAGAATGTCCCATGCAGTTGCTAAACAAATGATGTTTTGTAAAGTTTAGCTTTAAATGTTAAATTATCTTCAAAGAAATATTTATTTAAGAAACTGCAGTGAGGAAAAGCTTTCTTTTAACAAATACCTTTTAAGCCAAAGAGCTGTTTGGATATTCCAGTTATCAAGAAACATCTTGAAACTTGTGGAAAACTGTAAAATAAAAACAAATTATTTCTGTGATTGTAAAGGTACAAAACTTCTGATGTATAAATTATAAAAAATCTCCTGACTCTGATGAGTTGCATAAAGTACTCACTCAACTACTCAAAACCACAAAGTATTTTGGAAGTCAACTGACAAGCAGAATATATTCAAAACAGACTATTTTTGATCCTTTCCTAAGGGTGTGAACACATCATTTCTGACTTAGAACATACTCACTTATCCTGAGGAACAAAACGCGTAGGAAAAGTTACTGAAATTACAAGCAACTACCTACACAGGCACGTATTTCATGTGAAAGAGCCAGAAACAAACCTCTATTTGCTGGATTCTCAGATTTGATATTAGATCCCAGCGTGTCACTCCATTTTTATCATAGCCTCTAAAACCAAACCCTGCTGCATTATTAATTGCATCTGCTGCAAGGAAACAAAAAAGAAACAGATTAATTATGACCTGCCTGTGCTACAAATCATGCATCGTACATGTAGTTTGTTCAAAATATGTATCACATTTTAAAGGCTATTTGTTTGTTGTTTTTTTTTTAAATACTGAGATCACTGTTATCAGAAAATAATCCAAGGAACACACTGGCTTTCAATTAAAAAACTAAAGAATGGAAGGTAGCTCTATGCACTTCATAGTGCAGATGTCCCTTCTCTCTCATACCACCTACTTAGACTTACTTGATCAGCTATACAGAAAAACAAACTCAATGACATGCATCAAGACTATGAAACACTGTCTGGTTGTAATGATTTGAGACAGCAGATCAACACTCAGATGTGCGTCCTTGGTCATCACTACACAGTCACATTCTGTTAGCTCAGAAATTATCAAAAGCACTGCAATGCAACTGTCACACCTTTTAAATGACAACCAGCAAGGAAAGAGAAATCACTCAGTTTGTATTACCATATTAGAAGAACTTACTATATACAATAGTGACTTGTAAGAAATTTGGGGGTTTATTTTCCATTTTCCTTTCTTCTCAACAACTTTCCCAAGGTATTAATCCAGCGTATTTGGAAAGTAAAAGAAACAATTGTCTCAAACAGTTCCTTTCCTGAAGTTGTTTCGCCAGTTACCTACTAGTCTGGAGGAGGGCTTTGTGACATTTGATTTATTAGAGGGTAATTTATAACAGTTATTTCCTCATCAAAAACACTTTTAAAACCCACCTTTGAAAGCAACAAAACTTGCTGCTATTCATCTGACATCACTGATGTTGACTCAAATACTAGACAATGGTTTTATGCTCAATTAGAAACAGCTGAAAACATGAACTTCACAATCTCTTGCTAGCTAGAGCGAAGACTACAACTAAAGTACTCATTTCATTAACCAGCATTTTAATAAGTATTCATTTTAAGTAATTGGTTTCATTAACAGATTTTTTTCTTCAGTGTAAAGAACAGTAATGTGCAACTCCAAAGCATAACATCCAGCAGAACTGTTATGGCCCCTCACATTCTACTCATACCACTAGAAGTTTAGATGAGGTGAAGTGGAAGGAAGAAGGAAAAAAAAAAAAAAAAAGCACTATCTAGCAAACTAACAGTACAGAGTTAATGTAGTTTATTTTCTTTAGTATTTTACCAAAGGAATGCTAGCTCTGCACTGCTAGTAAGTGCACAAGGAGAAATCCATCTGAAGTGTTATAGAGGAAAAAACCCAAAGATTATTCATTTTGCAGATGACTCCTACACTTTACAGATGATGCTACTGGTGCATAAGAGCCCAATATGCAAAATTATTTCATTCCACAACAAGCCCCAGAACTACTATATCTAGACAAGCTGAAAGCACTTCATTCATTGACCAGGAATGAAACCAGCAGCTGTAAATGAGTCATGCTGCTCTGCTACACTAAGGCTTTCTTTATTGTATTGTTTCCCACAGATTCTCTCTCAAAAGAGTTATGAAACAAATATGTAAAACTGGAGAGGAGGAGGAAGCTGATGAAATCTGGTTTGTGAGCCACTTTCAAGATGTCAGTTTACAAAAATACAGCATTTTGCTGTTGTATGTGTTGAGCTTTTATTTTTCAAGTAACATGACCTGAAAATCAAAACATTCTTTAAACTGTATCATCTATTCAGTCTTAAATCAGTGACTATGGGTGTTATCCTGTCGGTCATTAGAACTTTTAATGAACAATGACTAAAACTGAAATATCAACCATCAAATTCTGAAAATACTACCAGAAATGCCATCTACTATTAACAACACTGTAATACATCTGAATTTCAATATATTCGGTTTTTCTTCATGCCTGAATAACATCAAGCAAATTACTGATAACCACAGAAAGAGGCTTAGAATAACCTTTCAGATAAGCCAAAATGAAGGTATTCACCCAAACCAAAATGAACCAAACCAGGGCTTGTACCTCAGAACAGATTCACAATCTTTTTAAAAATCAAACAAAAAAATCATTGCTCATTATAAAATAATTATTCTTTAAAAAAAAACACCACAAACAACCACCCTTATGTTTCACTCAGATTTCTTCAGCAGACCATGATCCCATTTGCAACACTGTCACAACACTGTGCTTAGATTTATGGCAAGTTTTGCTTCTCACAAAGAGACACCATTCAATATACTTTGACAATACTTCATAATATTTATAGGTACTCATGTTCTCCTAAAGCCTCAAGAGGGCACTGTCACTTTTTAATACATGCCTAGTGTGCAGCATCTCAAATGAAACTCAATACATACACTTTATTTTTCTAATATACACGCACTTACCTAAAGTCCATGCAAAATAATACTTGGGTCTGGCAGCCATAAGAGACACATACAGGTAGAAAAACCTTACAGGCCATGATGCTGTAGCCCTGAAGTTGTCATCAATGTTGTATTCCACAGGCAAAGTTTCTGTAATTGTCATGTGGAAGAGTAAGGACAGTCCACAGATTAAGAGCTTCTGTGCCACAGCTATCTGAAAAGTTTAAGATGGGAGAGTTTGTAAGCTTCCTTTTTGTTAATCTTCTGGAAACAAAGGCAGATTATAATCCTCCTTCCCTAAACAGATGTATATACAGCAATGTACACTCCTGACTTTAGAATAGTTGATAATATTTTAAAGAGGCTCAAGGAGTAGTTATCTGGAGTGAGGAGCACTACTGGTAAACAACACAGCAAATTCAACCTCACTGCAGTGAGACTCTATAAACCCTGTCAATACTGGGAACACTCTTTGCAACTCCAATTTTTGTTTTCTCATTGTCAAATTACTAAATCAAGTAAGTTTTTAAGACATCACAACACAAAGTATATAATCTAGGACAAGAGGAGTGCCATTATTGCAGAGATTCCCAAACAATGGCAAAGCTTCAGTTCATTTTTGGTAGTCTTTGGCATAATGCAGTGTTCAGTTCCTGCCCAACCCAATGTATCAATCATCTCTATTTGATTATTACAATATATGAATTCTAAACCAACTAAAACGCTGAAAGAGCTTATGAATTTTCAGCCAAAACACCTCAGTTCTGTACAGACCTGTTCTCCCAACTAGAGTGTTCAAGCTGTAAGGAGTCAAATAATATGCTCACAGACATATAAAAATACATTGTTTAGGTAGGACCCGGACTCAATTTTTCTCAAAATACCATTTTACTAAAACCACCACACTAAAGAATATAGTCTTAGGAAAACATTTGTAAGGTTCTATTATAAAAACGCAGAGAGCAATAATGCACGGCATTGGCTCCTTTCAATCACTAGTCTGATCAACATCCCAAGGGGCAGATACCATGTTCCGTGCAAGCCCTTAAAGTAGCACACTAACCGAGCAGCTAGAAAAGAGCATCTTGAAAGCCAGTTCATTTAAAAGTAATTTTCAAGTTTTTATTGTTAGTGGTATCAACATTTAAACATTACAGTTTTCATTTACATTTCAATTTTACAGGTACTGAACTTGTCAAGAAAACAAGCAATCCAGCTGTTTGTCTTTGAAGCATCAGAACAAAAAGATAACAAGAATCCGTTTTCTGTCCCTCCTGCTTCGAGTATACTTGCCCAGACTTTAAAAGGTAACATCCTGCTTCAATTAGAGTTCAGCTTCACATGTCTAATTTCACAATAAAGAGTGATACTGTTCCGTGATACAGAATGGAGCATTAAGTGCCCAACTGAAAACACAGATTTCTGCAAGATCCAGTCATGAGATGTAAGCGGTGGTGCAACCTGATAAAAAAATTAGACTTGGAAAAGCTGTAAAATAGTGAGGGATACAACTGTGGATACTGCATAGATCACACATGTCTCAATCTCAGAAGGTATCTCAGAGAGGATCAGAAAACCCAGCTAATTAAACAAACCAGCTGGTTAATTCAAGGGGCAAGTGCCTACTAACAGCTAAAACTGGTGTTTGATTATTTTTTCTACTTGCTTTCTAATAAACTTGATTTCACTATTTTACTCTATTACAAGACCTCAAAGTAAAGGGCACTGACTTTCTGCCCTGGGTTTGGTCGGGATACAGTTAATTTTCTTCCTAGTAGCTGGTAGAGGCCTGTGTTTTGGATTTATTCTGAGAATAATGCTGATAAGACAGTGATGTTTTAGTTGTTGTGAATCTTTAACTTTGGTATGCAATATCTGATACATACAAAAGTTTGGTATTTGTAAATACCGAAAGGCATCACCCCAAAGCTATGAAGACAGTTGTAAGAATTTAACTTCAAAGTCTAAGCCATAATTAAAAGTCATGTTTAATTTAGCATGAGAAACAGTATTTATAGGCTGCTAACATTAGTACATAACTTAAAACATAACCATAGAAAATAGATGTTTTCCATCTGAAGATCTCTACAAAGTCTCAGAATAAGTTTTGTCAAATTACAAGTAAAATTTTCCCTGTTTAAAGGCCTGCTTTTGCTACTGCCACTATTTCCCAGTTTTTCTGTTGGTAAATAGAAATCATTGATCTGCATATTCAACCTAAAATATGCTTAGTAGCTGTTAGAAGATTTTTAATTAAATTGTGGAGGTGAAAGCCCTTCTTTTACAGGGAAGCATCGGTTTCAACAAAACTCGTACTCAGAAAAAATGAACTCATGCAGGGTTCTGCCATAAACTGTACATCTAACAAAATTATCTCAGCAGTTTTTAGTTTGTACTTGTAAGACAAAATACTGAGAAACCAGTTTTTTTTATTTCATTAGTATTTAAATGCTGTATTTCTGCAATTTAGCAGCAACATTTCAGTGCAGGGACAAGCACTACTTTAATCATAATTATCTCAGCCCCTCAGTCAAGCTGATACCACTTACAGGGATCAGTATCAGATGTATCAGTGTCCTTAGCGAGCAGTGATGGAGATCTGCCTCTACAAAGACTGTGAGATGCAGTCCCTGTCTCCTCACCTTCAGTGCAAGATTTTTGCCTTTTCCTTCTAGTGAGTCAGATTAGAGAAACAAGTCAGGTGGAAAACCAGAGTTTGAGCTTGGGTTTTAGTTTTTGCTTCATTTCACAGTTGGGTTTTTTTTTGGTGGGTGGTGTTTTGCTGTCTGGTTTTGTTGTTGTGGGGGCTTTGCTTTTTGTTTTATTTTGTTGGGTTTTTTTAAATGACAACTTTGATTAAGTCTGGATCAAATTATCTGAATCAGACCACAACACAGCGCAAAGCATGTTAGCACTGCTAGGATAAGCAAAGGTCCTTACCTTGCATGGACCCTACTCCAAGGACATAGCATATTCAGCAAGAGTTTACACTTCAGTTGGCCTAAATAGTTCATTAAACTGTAGCCTTAGGCTTGTTTATAGCACTCAAGTTTTTAACACATTTACATACAAATAAAAGCTTCCACCTGACAAAATAATCTATAGTTCAATCACCAATATAAATGCATTAGGTAAAACATTAATTCACTTCCTATTGCTTAATTAACTAGGGAAGTGATCTAAACTTCTCTGCTGTAAATGGGTAATCACTGGATCACACAAGAGGGTTGGTCGGTTTTTACAAGGACGAAATAACTAATTTAAAGTTTAAACTTTAAATTTCTTTCAAATTTTCAAATACGAAAATAACTGTTCCATTAAGGCATTAAAAGACTATAAGCTGTAGGATAACTTTGACCTCAAATGAAGTAGTACATACACCTTATTTTACAACAAGAAGAGTAGAAAGGCCTGGCTTGTTTGGTTTTGATGAAAAAAAACTGGGCATAATCTGTATTAAAAATACTGAATTATGATCAAGGCTGGGAAAGAAAATTGGTAACTTAAGCTACAAGACAGTGCCAGGACAAAACCAAATTAGATGGGAATATAATTAGGTTGAAGGCTAGATCTCTAGTCAGAGAAAGGAGCTCAGGAACAGCTTTCTAACTGAAGCAATAAATGAACCTTTTATTTGAAAGAACTTGTTCTTGATGGATAAAGAATCAATAAGAAGCTCAATATAATATAGAACTATATTAAAGCATATTATTCTGGGGAGGTTAGCACCTCAGGTAAAAATTATAGGTAACTAAGCAAGAGCTTTATAACCTATAGGAAGAGCCTGCATAATAAGCAAGAAAGCAGATATCTGCTGACAGGAATCTTGTATTTTAAGGGTAGCCATAATAAAAAGAAACTTACAAAGACAGATATTAATTTCTGAGAGTTGACACCACTTTGAGCACCAACAATTGATAGCTTGCAAAAAGGCACAATAGGAGGGATATGAGAAATAAGTTTTAATATGCTGACTTGATTAATTTAACATGCAATGAACACAGCAATAATACTAAACCAAGTTAACATCATGCAGTCAACACACAGTATAGAGGAGGAGGCTGCCATGAACTACTTTGGTTATGTAATTATATTTAACAAGAAATAAAACTTACTGTAAGTCAGCCGAAGGGCTTATTTTTTTCCATTTACTACTTTAACATTTGCTGATCCCCATTACATTCCAGGGTTTTTTTTTTAGTTTCTAACAATTTATTCTTCTTAAAATAACATGAGAATCAAGGAACAAATTTAAAGTATTAATAAGTTAATGGTATTTAAATATCCTTCTAGAACAAGACAATTAATATTTTAATTGATGCAGCAAATGCAGTAAAATAATATTACCCATATTTCTCCAAAAGCACACAATACTCACTGGTGTTATAAAACGCATACAGATTTCTCTAACACCAGTGGGGAGATGAAATAACAGCACAGACAGCTTCTCTTTATGTCGAAGCTAATGCAGCATAAATTGCAAAAAGTTTCAAGCATCTCAAGGGCAATTTATTTTAAGGAAAACCACTTACCTGAAAGAGGAATCCATCACAGGTTTATGTTAATTTCTATTGACTTTGTTCAGACTACTAGCAAGATCATGTGGTAAAAAGCTAAGTCGTCCTATCAGGCAACCAGTAGATGCATGTACAGAAGTACTGATACCGACAAATTAGTTCCATTTATTTGCAGTAATTTTGCTACATGTTTTTCTGCAGAAACAGCATTTTATGTACATTAGATGTGATGCCTCAACTGAGCCAAACAATGGTTAAAAACAAAAAGATGTGTCTGCAGCTTTGCCAAGACAACACATCAAGGTAGACTGTGGACTATGAGGTGCCAACCTACGCAAGGAATTCTCCTGTGTCTTTTGCCCTTTCCACCTACTTGCTCCACAGCATTTCTATGAGTTTAGGTGCTCTGCCACCATGTGGAGCAGTTTAAAGGGTTATCATCCTCTAGCCACCAGTTTAGATCCATTTGGTCCAAATTACTACAAACTACAAAAGACAGGTAGAATGGAATGTGCAAAGAGTCCTCATCTACATTCAAAGCAGATGACACAATCAATTGGGAGGCACTCAGTGTTAGCCCAGCTGTGAGGATTGTAACCTCTAGATGGTCAGAATGCTAGCTGATCATCTGTAAGATAAGCAGAGAGCAGGAAACTGGTGCTGGAATAATGAAAGCCACTCATCTATCTGAAGATTTTCATGATAATTCTGCTTTTTAAGTGAAGTAATAATTATCTTAGGCAGACACAAATTTAAAAGTCTGATATACTCCTATTTAAGAGAACAGGAAAAGAATGACAAGGTAATATTTGGTACCCTAAAATTTAAGAATAAGCTAACAGCCATACAATCTCCCCTGTAAGGTATGATCACCTGGACTTTTGTATGTATTTGGCCTCTTTTCTGAAAACAGAACAAAGAGGAAAAAGAAATGTACATATTACTAGCCACAGTGTTATGGATATTCCATCTTTTACTACATCTTCAGATCAAAATCCATCTTTAACACTTCTCTCTACATGAATGAAAGCAAGAAAAATGACACTCTTCTGTGACTGTTTTTCACTTTGTTACATGGAGTGTCTTCTATTTGCTGCAAGAAGACATGAAAAAGAAATAGAATTTGTGAACACTCATGGAAATTTACTGGACCTTTTAAGGCGCAGCTTTCAAATGACAAAATGTGCATTTCATCCTTACCAGGACTTTTTGCTATGGACAGTGTATGCTTTGGAAGAAACATGCATGAACTGTTTTAACTTAAAGACAGCTTTTTACCATATAAGCTTGTTAGGAAGCTTCAGTTTAATCTGCTTTTAACCACAAGATCCGGACTGGAAACCATGGAGAAAACCTGCCTTAGAAAAGAATAAGTATTTAACTTTATGAGCAGGGAGCTATAGTGTTGATGAATGAACTCCAGATACAGCTCAGAAGTTATGCCTGTAAACGAACAGTGCAAACCAAGCTTTCCATGCAATGATTACGTAAGCATCAGCACTGCAAGAGTCATACATCTTACATTTGGGGAAGGATCCGTTTGTTCATATTTGGTATCTTCCTTCCCATTTGCTTCAGACTGTTGCAGTTGGTATGATCTGCCTTCAATGAAAGTAATATAGTCTTTGTAAGAGCATAACGGGCCTGCCAGGATACCCATGAAATTACAGTTGTAACTTAAATACTCCAGTAGACTTGGCATGCGTCTGTAATTCAAAGACAAGCAACTCGTGAGATGGAATGTGTAGTTCTACAGAATTTCCACAGCAGGAAAAGTCATACTCCATGTTATTGCTTACTCTGACTACAGAAAAACCCACATGTAGAAAAGCAGTTTTTGTGTCTCTGGTAATCACAGCTCAAAACATTCTACACATACTATTTCTTTCCAAACTATACTGAGCATTTTCAGACAGATCTCCTGAACTCTGGTGACTCTCTCCTCACACAGCAGAGATGTCTGAAGCTGAGCCTGGGGAAGGAGTAGGAAGGGTGTTTCCCTGCATGTTTGTTAAACTCTAGGCTTTCTTGTTTTCCCTTCAGTAACTGAATTGGTAAACAAGGGTTTGTGTTAACTGGCAATAATTTCAATTAAGGAAAATGTCTCAAGTCAAGCCTGTTTTGCCCAGGACAATATGCTACTCTCAAGTCTCCTGAATAAAGAAAGGGAAAAATGTAAGTTAAAGACTAAATACCAGAATTAAACATGCATGTTCCTTCACCAGCCACTTTAAGTGTACTGAATGTTAACTAGTCTCCTGCCTGCTATGGCATTAACTTGCATAGACTGCATAGAATTTCGAATGTTTTTCTTTACTAAGAATAAAAACTTTTAGCAATATTTTCCAGAACAGATGTATGAATTAAGCTACAAATGTAAAAAGCATGGATCCATTTTACATGGGTAAACTCTCTATCTTGAATGTAAACTGTAGCAATTCCACAGAGCATTAAGGCAGCACACAAAACACCAGCTTCTTTCCACCCCAGAACTAGACTCACAGAGATGCCTGAAAGCCTACCTTACAGCCAAGCACCTCTGAGATGGAGTCAAATCTTCATTTTTCCGAAACATTCCTAGGGAAAAGGAAAAATAAAGAAAAGCTAAACCCCCACACACGAATTAACAGTTTCTTTACTCACGAGAGTAAAGAGAAAAAAAAGAGTAAGCCACACGCTGCAATTTAATTTCTTAAGTCCGCAACCAATTTCAGAGGTATACATCATGTAAAATTTTTGCTGGAATTGGATCAAACAATTCTTACTGTTGACAAAACTACAAACTCTCGTATCCTCAGTTATACCCAACAGCACCTACACCTGAAATCATGTGGATTTCAGGAAAGCATTAAGATGGCTTGTAGTAGGTGTTGACAAATAATTCCTCTACATTGGTTAAGATTTCAAAGTCTGCAAGTTTTAAACCCCCTTATTCCCAGTCCTGGAAACTGGACAAGCCCCAAGCCTCTTTCAACATTGCAGTAACCCAGAGACATCTCACTAATGACTGACTCAATGTATAGTATGAACACAGTCCAAGACAGATTTAAACAATTCAAAAGTTAAGGCAGACCTCAAGAGCATCTTCATGTTGCAGCTAAAGACTGCAAACAAGGTCCAGTGAGAACATTAAAAGGTGCTCAAGTCTTTCACCAGCATCAAGGAGAAGCCCTCACCCCTGCTAGCAGAAGCAGGCAGGCCAAGTCTAAACTCAGCGGCAAGACTGAATTTACCTTCTTGCCATAAGGACCGCTTTCTGAAATGCTGGTGGCTACCCCTGAAAGATGGGCTTCAAAGTCTGCACTCCCATAAAAATAGTGAAAAAATTATGACCTTCAGCACTTAAAATTGGTATTAACCACTAACTCAGGAGCAGAGACTAAGCAGAGCTCTTGCCTTCAAACAACTCCTGGTTCATGCTGTCAGCACTGCTTGCCAAAATGACTGACTGCTTCAGCTCCTTCTGCAGCCCCTCCACTGGTTCAGACATCAGCACACACGTCCATTCCCTGCCATTCACATTTGCAAGTTTCCTTTGCCATCACAAGCAATAAGAAATCTATTTTTATGAGCACAGTTTTCCCAAATTAAAGTTATGGAATCCCATGTGAATTATCTTCTTCCCTCGCAGCGCCTAAACTCAACAATTTCTAACCAAGTTTGATGAAAGAGCAGAGGTAATATAGATAGGAAATCTCAATGTGTTTTATGAAAATAGGTGATTTGACAGAAGATCCTTCTCTAGTCACAGAAAACTTGCCTTCAGACCCACCCCTTGATGCCAGTAAATCCAGAGGGGAGCCCTTATATTTGAGAGAATAGGACAATTTTAGGACATTAGGAGAATTTTAACTGGAGCTAATTTATTTTTATTTTTTTTTAATTTTTTAGATATCAAAATCAGTCAAGCTTAAGACAAAAACAGACGGGGGGGGAAGGGTAGAGGGGAAGCCAAATCTCATATATTCTTATGACTCATGGAAATACTTGTTAACTAAAAAAAAAGATAACACTGTTGTCTTCATATGACTCCACGAACCATGACTTGTACACACTTACAGCTTTAAAACTGCACTTCTAATCTTAAAAGTAGCTGAGAATATGGACAGGTTAGCAACTTGCCACCTCCCCTCCTGTAATATGACCTGGAAAAATACCTTCCTCAGTCCTGATCCTTCAGAGCACAAAGTGACCCCTATTCACCTGCATTCAAGGTAAGAAATTAAAGGGCAAAGCATCACCCCAAACTTCATGCAGGCAACTTCTCTTCCTCATCATTACATTTCACATCATCTCCTTGTAGAAGCATTTTGAAAGGACCTTTCACCTTCAAGGCTGTAAGATTACAGTTCTCAGTAGCGAATCTTTGAATTTAACACAAAAACTCCTATAGATTAATGTAGATCACATGACATGACTACTCTAGGGAAGTAGCTGATACTCAGCCTTCGGTCTCTCACAGCATATACATACAATGTAAATTGACCCAAGCAGGAGCATCTTTCACGGTTATACTCCACATGAGTATTCACACCCTTTAGTCAGAAAGTGGATGCAGTCACCAAGTGTGTTCAAGTGAAATTGCATAAAGCCAGACTAACCACTGTATAAAGGTAATTACACAAATAAAAGAGAGGTGAGGAAGAAAGAAGTGGCATATTTGAACTGGGTTCCAGTTATATACATGTGTAATAAGTCACTAAGGCCTAAATAACCTGGTGAGCAACACAATTGTTGTCTCAAACATACCACAAACAAGTAAGCCTCCATTAATTTTTCATTTCCCTGTCTCAGTAAGATCTCCCTCTAGCCAGGAATTTCTTTGAGGTCACTTCAGTGACTCCCTGAATTAGTCTGTTGCAGTCTTCTTTCATTTAAATCTCTTCTCAGTGGTTTGAAGGCCCATTCATCGCCCCTGTGCTGCACACAAGAACAAGGAAACACAACCGATCTCTGCCTCTGTCATACTCTTGCAAGCTTTCAGGAATCTACTGTTCAGATTTTTTAACACATAGAAAATACATATGGAAAAGATGCTCTTACACTGACACTTATCTAATGAGAGATGAATTAATATATATCCATTCAATATTTCCCAGGCAGTGTATCTGCCCATGGGAACAGAGGCCTCATTAATCATAGCTCTTCCTTACCTACTTCACACTGGAGATGAAAAAACCCCACTTTAACAGTACACCAGTGATAGGGAACTCATGAAGTTTTGTAACCTTTCTCTGGGGATTATGACAATTGTTTTCTCCTGTCCTAAAATAGGACTACTACAATAACTGCAGCTTTTAGTTGCTACCAGCTCACAGTGGGGATTACAGAAAATGGCTTTTATCGAACATCTGTTAGAGAGGTGAAGTCATTTGGTCACTCAGGAACCACAACTTGGTTTTCTCATCTTTAGCTCTTTCCTTGGTAAAAGAACTTTGTAACTCATCGGTAGCAAAATTTATCCCCAGCTGTCTAGATCATGAGGAAGCTGCATCTTTTCATTCCTCCTCAAGAGATCGTATCCCAAAGGTACACACCAATATCCTGCCATACAGACTTTATTAAGGCATATTATGACTACTATCATGCTCTCACTACAATAAAACAATGTTTACAATTGCATTACAGCACCACTCCAGCTTTGCTCTAAATCTGCTTGAATATATCCACCTTCGTATTTGCATGCAACCTGGCTAATCAGTTATTAATATTGTTTAGATATAAGCCTGTATTACAATGATAAACACGGAGATCATATCAGAGGCTCTTTTGTAATTACAGTCAATTTTGAGGTTGTGAAATGGATCACCAGCTGAGCACAAATGCATGCCATTATTAAAATAGTTTAAAACCTGAAGACAGGCAGACAGTAACAGTTTTAACTGTTACTAATACATCAGCAGAAACAAAAGCAAACACATAAAGATGCCAGTTGAATGAAAATGCAAAGAAACTACAAAAAGCATGAAAAATAAGAAGTCTTGATATCCAGAGAGCTATGCAAGCAAACACCAGTCCAGAACAACACCTGAAGAGCCCGGAGGGGAGAAATACAATTCTTTTAAACACTAATGTACATGGCACTGCAATCAAAGTTACTTGGTAATGGATACTGAAACATAATGACTATGCTGTCACTAACACAAGAGGGAGCACCTAAGAAAAAGAAAATAGATCAAGAGACAAGTGGAGAGAGCATTAGAAGGCACTCCTGGACATAAGAAGAAATCATCAAGCTCCCAAAAACACAGATCCACACATCATGGCAGTTTCACTGACATAATTAACAGGCTAATTAGAAAAAAGCATTCTTGGTTAAACAGCTGCAACTTTCTTGCTGTAAGACTACCATTCATAAAGTGGAACTGGGTCATGGCCACCCATCAAAAATCCATATGAGTATCTAGTTCTACATACATAACTGCCCACCTCTGTTTCAAGAGTTGTTCAGTTTTTCTCTTGCTCATACCTTCCCAAATACACTTTTAAAAAGATATAATAATAATAATAACAATAATAATAAAGCCTATTTGAAATCAGAAAAGTGCATTAATAGTTTATGAGACATTTCCATAAAGACAACAATATTCTTAACTGACCATCTCTCACTACAACAAAGAATCCCTGCTTAATCACAGAAGTTGGCCAAAACACAGTAGGTTCCTTTTTACCCCAGGGTCATGTTGTGACAGTCAGCAATTCAGCCTGGGAATCCTGTTTTGGTTTCGTAGGTATTTATTTAAAATGAATTTGAAATATCACATCTCATGTACCAAAATAGATAAGCTGATCAGTGCTTCAGTACATCCACATTTCCAGCCTCTGAGTCAGAGCAGACCAAGTTGTCTGCAAGCCATTAGAGGGATACAGTGGCTTTCTGCTGAATATGGGAACTATTTACCTCTGATAAAAATGAAATAATTGAGTTAATTGAAAATAAAGGAGAAATACTTATATCAACTCAATCAAGAAACATTCTTCTCTACTTCTGACACTATTACATTGCTCAGGAACAGCTAACAGTACCACTACTATTAATGTAATAGCAGGTACTGCACATTGGTTGGGACTGCTCATTAGCTGCAAACCAGCAAGAAATTTGTTTTCTAATTTACATAATAATAAAAAAGATCTGAAAAACCTCTCAGGTGCATGGTGTAGCATCCCAACTAATACAGTGCTTGCACGTGAGTTCTTCTAACATCACCTTTGTTTCTTTTTCCTCTTCTCCTTCCCACTTTCCATTTATTTTATCTGTCCATTGAAATCTCTCCTCTCAAGGGCCATACTAGACAGAGGCTATGCTTTCATTATTTTGCAAGAGAAATAGGCCCTAATAGCCTATTTGGAAATCTTACAGCTTTGTAATAGTAGAATAGCAATATGAGGAAAAACAGCATAAAATAATCCATACATTGGCCTAATAGTTTGATGTTGGAACAAAGTAAATGAGACCTAAAATACTGGTGTAAGACTTGCTTTTAACCACATTTCACCAATTATCATTCAAACTAAACTGCAGAGGTAAAAAAAAGTCATTTGAGTTGCATATTCCCTGTACTTTCTCTCCTTTCAGTTCTCACAGTAAATGCAGTGCCTTACTAAATCAGTATCTACTCTGATGCTTATAAAAATGGAGAGCACCAGATACAGAGGAGGAAATAACAATTGGGGGGAAAACCCCAGCAAGCAGTACTCCAGGAAAAAACATATAAAAAATTAGCAACTACAGAGCTGAAACGCCGGGGCGCAGGGGATGGGAGAAGGAGACACACAGGAACAAAGAGTTTATTTCTTTTTGTGGCTGGAAAGCATATGAGCAGCCGCTGGGAACGAAGAAGCAGCTGACAGAACAGAAGAGTGTTATGGTTCTGGTTTCTTACCTGTATCTAGCCACAAATATTTATGGAAAAATGCAATGAAAAAATGATTTTGAATAATTAGATTTCATGTTTTGTAGAGCAGTACTGAATTTACCTTCAAAGTTTTATGTATTATTTAGTTTAATTAAATAAATAAGAAAAAGTTTGGAGGAAGCTGTGAGAAGATATTTTTCCCTTTTAAATATCAAATATCAAGTCTAACATTCCCTAGTTATGCGGGCTGAATTACTTGGAGATTCAAAAATAAATACATTGCAAACTCCAGAACTTCAATGGGTTATGAATATAAACATTTGAAGAGACTCTTTAAGATTCATTAAGCACTAGAATTAAAAACAAGCTGCAAAAGCGCATAGAGATTAGAGAGGTTAGATTTGGATATGGGCCTTTTCCTGTAAAGATCCATCATCTCATGTGGAATTGCAGTAAAATGAGTGAGGCTCCGTGGGGATGAGTAGGTTAGAAGCAAAAAGAGAAAATACTGTATGAACCCATTGCAAGATGCAGAGTTAGGCAGTGGCAGTATCTCTCTTCTCGCCTGCTTAACTTCTAGTACCTTAAAACTGCAAAAGCTTCTCTACTTGCCACCATCTCCTAGCTAGAATTTTCTTGTGCAAGTATAGTCCTCCAATTTACAGCCCCTCTAACCTGCACTGTAGACAAGGCCCTTACTTCTAGAGTAACTGCACAGCAACTTTGCTTTTCCAAAATATGCCAGTCTTAAATTTTATGGCAATTCAGAATATAGGATCTAAAGCACAAAAAAGTTCTTCTCCCTTAACTCTGCCATTAGCCAAAAGTGTTGCATAAATAAATCTAAGTATTACCATAAAGTATGAGCACTGCCACAAGCAGTCCCCAAATAATGCAAAAAGCTTTTTGCCTTTCGAACATATACACGTGTAATGCTGAAGATAACCAACAAGAAATACAAGGCAAATTTTAATATATTGACTGCTCATTTTTGGCAGCATTCATTAAAGTAACAAGAAACTCTAAGAAGGCAAGAACGATCAAGGGCTTCAGTCCCAAATGCCAGAGTACACCAAAGACTTACTCCAGACTTAACTCATGTGTAAACCTGTGATCCATGCAACCTTCTGAAGTCAGCATTACATAGCAAACTTAGAACAATCTATGCAACTTGCATAGAATTTTCCTGCTTAAACTCCCTCCCCAGGGATGTAACAGTTACAGCGATAGTTGTTATTTATTTACGGGATTCCATACTGGTGTTCAACTTGGAATTAGCCAGACAGACTCTTTAATATGCAGCATGAGTGAACGGTCTTCATTATTACATCCAGTTCTCTTCACGACTTTCAAATCTAACACTGAAACCAGCTGAACACAACAAACAGGCTGCCAGAAAAAGATCAAGTTCAGATGTCTCTTTACCACAAAGCTAACCTAAATACAACCACAGTTTTGAAGCTTACCAAGATCTTCCCGTACACAAACACCTTTCTTTCAGCTCTTTACTTTCATTACCTCTCCTTGGACATGCATAAAAAACAAGGTGAGGGGAAAATAATTTGTAATTAATATAGCCAAGCTGATATGACTACAGGCTCAGAGTACCATTAATCACTTTTATTCAACATTTTCTCCTCACCCATCAGTATACGTCAAAGTATTTTCCTGTGGAAGCATGGACCTTCACACAGTGAACAAAACTCCACTGACAGCAGACTTGTTTTCAATGATTTCTCATGATGGACCCCTTTTAGGTAGTCTATGGTTAAAAATCATCGCTTCAGTATAACCTCCATTTCCCCTGTACATCTTTTCTTTGCATCTCCTGACACCAAACCAGGAGTTGCTCCTGAATTCACATTGGCCACATCAACTTTCGAAAGTCACGTTCACACTGTGCCCCCAGCAGTGGTCATCATCCAACTCAAGGACAGCTGCAACCAGAGAGAGTTTTCCAGTATAGTATCAGCTACTCCCCACGGGCTGACAAAGACTCAAAAGGATCTCTGATACAAGGTCAGCAAGGAACAAAATGTCAAGGTTTATGCTCAGAATTCACTTACATCTACAAGAAATTTAAACAGGAAGTAAATTGGGCTTACGAGGAAAATGGAAATTATCTGAATTAACATGAGTAGGGGAAAAAAATAGACTGGTTTGTGAAGGAAGTTAAGAATACATCTAATTAAATGAAAATTTATTTCAAGATTACCAGGAATACTCATATGCTTTCCCATACCACAACTCCATTATCTGCGTATGATGTCAGCAAGTTGAGAACAGCTCTTTCCCCAAGCAAAGTAACACTAAGAGAAAGCATTTCTCTTTGATACTAGAATTATTACTTCCTCATAATAAGCTGTTCCATCTAGCTTGTGTACTCTGTAGTCTATTTGATTATAGTTTGCAAGACAAATACTTCTGAACAATTTTCTCTGGAAGTTAAACATCAACTAGATATGCCCAGCATTATTTATTTTGATTCCTACAAGAATTCTTACAAGTTTTCCCCACTGTTCATATTCATCAGTGCTGTTTCCTACAGGCTTCTCTAGACAGTGTTGACAAGAATGGGAAAAAAAAAAAATGGAACACCAACAGCACTGAAGCTAGGATATATATGAGACAAAAACATGTTAAACTCCACACATGTTACTAAAGACATTTCAGAAGAATAGGTGGCTTGATCCAGGTGGCTGGGGCTCCCCTCCCAAATCTTCAACCAGCAGCTGGAGCTCCAAGTGATTCAAGCTAATTAGCAAGATTTATTGGATGGTATTATCAAATTTTAAAATGAAAATTACCCTTTTGAATTTAAAGGTAACTAAACATTTAGATACCCTACCCAGGAAAACCATTTTTGTCATAACTAGAGCCCACTTATCTGATGTATAAAGCCGAGAGGAGAAAAGCCAGAAACATAGATAATCTCCCTGTTCAAACTGACACGTTATTAGCAAGTGTAATTATGATAATAAACAAAATGAAGCACATGATGAAAATCAGCATACATGGCACATATCAGACTTCTAAGAGGTGCTCAATGACTGAAGTGACATATACTTCTCCCAGCAATCTGTCGGCAACAATGACCTCCAAATTTATTCAGCCAATTCTCAGGATCAATACACCAGCCCAAAATAACGTCAGTGGTCTTCCATCACTGGTCCCAGAAGCGTCATTTGTCTTCTGATAAATAGTATCTTCTGCACAACATAAGCATTTTCAGAGCTTTTGCAGCATCTGAGCAACATCTCCTGGTACTTCATTAGCAAGCATCTAAAGAATCAACTGAGACACAAAAACATATTTTGTCCTAACACACACACTGGACTAAAGTAACTCACTGACTCATGACTAACTTTGCTAAAATGTATTTGCTATGGATAATTAAACACAGTTCAAAGAAATCTTACCATCATGAATCTCAAATGCCAAACTAGTGATCTTCTGTGTAATTATCATCATTGGACTGTTTTAAGAAAAGAAAGAATAAATTAGAAAAAAGTTCAGCTTTTCTTTCACAGGTAAACATCAGGGAATGCACATGTTAATAGTCCAGGTTAGTTACTCTCAGCTGGAAGATTTTCAATGCAAGGATAAAGTGATAGGTCTCTGGAGCTCAAACCATTTCAGACTTTTCAGTGCAATGAAAATAATTTAATCCTTAGATGCAGTATTTGATAACCTCTGCCTTTTATTGCTGTGTTAGGTTCCACAAACACAGTCAGTGTTTCAGATCTATTTTCCACTAACAGTTTATTTTTTTTACCACGGGAAGAGCAAAGAAAAAAGGGCAATCAGAGCAATTAAGTACATTGTAAATTACAGCAGCACTAAGGAAAGAACAATAAAAACATACCAAACTTGAAGAATACTATAAATTATTTAGATATTCAGACCACTTCCACTGTTCTTACTAACACTCGGTCCTATGCTTAATTGTTCCATCTAGAATTATATTTGCTTCAAGTAAACACATCTGGCAAAACAAAACCCCAGTACAATTTCTGTTGGAGCCAACATAAAGGAGTTCAGTTTGTTCTGAGTTTGGTACACTCGAGCAGATCTTAAACTGTCCAAGATACAGTCTTCCCTAGCTAAACAAGTCAGCTTTATATTGAGAAATTATATAATCTCACAGTACTTAAGAGCTCTTGACTGATGCAAATCCCAGCACTGAGAACCCCTCAACCAGGGGCAAAGAGAGGATGGGGGAGAGCATGAAGTAAATTATTAGAATTTAAAAATTTAACTTTGGAATCAGATCTCAAAAATGCATCAAGGACTCTTTATTTACCTCATAGCTTCTGAACTGGAGACCAAACAAAACCCCACCACAACAAAACAATGATAGTGTAGGATGGGCACATAGTTTTGTTCAAGTCTTTTGACTGCAGTTGGCCTTTTTTAGAACATATTAAAGTTAGCACAGAAAAACAAATCCAGCAGCCATCAAGTTTTCCTTCACTGACAGGGAAATGCCAGTATTTTGCCAGATGGCTCAGTCTGACAAATGCAGTTTTTTTAATGTTATGGCTTTTTCAAAACACACAATACTTTCAGTCCTCCAAATGCAATCAGGGAAAAAGGATTTTCCCTACTGTATTATCAGTGCCCCAAAATCCTGACACTAAGACTACAGTGACAGGCATGGGTCAGCAAGGAAAGAAACACTAAACAAAACCAGACAGTCTGGAAATCCCTCATATCTCTTTCCACCATTTAAGCTGTAGACTTGCCTGGTGCTGGCAGAAATAACCAACTGATTCTGAACATAATGGGTTTTCCTTCTGTAAGTAGACATGTGACAGCATGGATCCTGCCTGGTGGAAGGATGGAGCCCAGGAGGAGTTCTGTCAGACCTCGCATTAATTCTGTCTCACTGATGCATCTGTCATTGTTATCATAGCAGACCCCAGTGTTCTTTCGCTTCTCAAGTGGCTATTCCAGTATCATCAAGGATTTGGCTGAGGAGCAGCAATCTAGACACTCAAAGAGGAAGAGTCCTTCTGGGAAACGGAAGGCTGGGAACCAGAATTTTAATGATCTGTCTTAGGTGCTGGCAGGAAGGCAAGAAGGCAGTGGAAGGCTCACTGGCATCTGGGATCTGTTAGTACTGCAGCCAGGACCACTCAGCCCTGCACAAGCAATTGCACCTCCAGCATAAGGTCTCCTCCACTGTTTCCACTGTCAGTGCACTGATACCTTCCCTCAAACTTTTTGCAGATTCCCTGGGACACCTCAGGTGGGTATGGCATGCTAGGAGAAATACCTAGGTAAACAGATATTCAAAGCTCTTCTGGGACTTCTGGGACTTCTGAGAAGACTCTTCTGGGACAAATCCATGCCAACCAACATCTTCATAAGAACTTGCTGATGCTGGGGTTCAACTGCTGGTTAGGCAACTTTTGTCATTTACTTGAGCTAATTTCTATTCCCCTAGAACTAGAGAAAACTGGCAGAAAATAGCCCCTTCAGTTCATCTTCTTTCTCCCCCTATTTTGGAAGTAATCTCTGTCTCAGGACTCAAGGGAGCAGTTCAGTATATGGCAGATGCATAAATCAAGCTCCCAAACTACTGCATGAAATGATGGTTTAAATTAGGCAGCTCAAACATACTATCAGAGAGTTGGATCTAGGCTTCAGAACAGTTCTATCCAGAGCACCGATCTCTTGAATCTTTGAATGTGTTCAGACCTAGCAGAAATCTGAGCCAACACTAAACCAAGAGTCAAATTAGAGCAATGATGTGCTCAAGCTCTACTGACAGTTTTGAGAGCAGCAACAAACAAGTGCAATTATACCATTTTCGGAGTCAGCTCAGAGCTTTGATCACTGCCAAGGTTACACATTTTGGCCCTACAGTGAACTGGAAGGGGCAGCATTTGGATTACAGTTACACTTGTAATGGTGAAGGTTTAATTCAACCCTAATCAGTGAACCTAATTTTAAAGTGCCTTTATGCATATGTCTATGCTGCAAGCTCCCATTATAGCCAGTGGAGATGTAGCAATAGACAGAGGCATTTGGCAAGTGACCCAATTCACACTAAGGTAGAACTTAGTGGTAGGGCAGCTGAAATGCCCTTCAGGCTCTACTGTCTACATCCGTCAGATGTTCAGTGGCTACAATTGGAACTTGGATACGTGGCTTGAAGGTAGACACTTGGATGTAGGAGTAAACGCAGAAAGATGTTTCAGAAGGTAAGGTCCAGCTAAACATGACAGAAAAGACAAACTTAACCATAAAGCTTTTGGATTTAGCCTACAAGTTAAGTTTCTGGACTACATACTTGTTATCAATGAAGGCTGAAAAGCAACAAGGCTACCAAGCACAGCTCCACTACACAGTACAGGTAATACTAAACTACAAAGACCACTGACATTCATAGTATTCCTGAAAAGTATTTACTGCACTGTTTTAAGCAGACTAGCAAACACTCCCTCCTCAAAAAAACACTCTCTCCTTTAAATCACCAAAAGCACAATCACAGTGGCAAACATTTATAGGAAATGCTGTGCTTCAGTTCCTTGTGTCTGAAGTAAGAAAGAATCACCAATGTTGTTGTTTTACTTTCCCTACTTAATTCTGTTTTGCTCCCTAATTACTGCTCAAGTCAAATACAAAGGTTTAAGCTCATGATATAAAATCAGAGCACATATCGACAAAGCTTTGTTTCCAAGGGCTGTGTGACTGTTCCACACAGGTGCCTCTTCCCTTAGCTCTCCCCTTCTGCAACACACAACAAAACCAAAAAAGAAGCTAAACAGCTAAATTCAATAAAACATTCCGATTTTCCTCACAAAGTGGCATCAGACTGTGCCAAGCACACAAGTGCATCAGATACAATTCAAGTTTCATCATGTCATGGGTGGTAACAGAGTTTTAGGGGAAAAAAGCAAAAGCAAAAAAATCGTGCACCAAATCCTTTACGCCCTTCAGACAGGAACAGCAGGCAGCAGACAAGGCACCAATGGTTCTGACAAGACAGAACTGCTCCCCAGATTCTCAATTTGCATGATTAAAGCACAGGTACTTATATATTTTCATATGTACAAAGACATAAGCACACACCCAGCTTTCTCACAAAGGTTAAAAGGTTGACACACTTAACTTGGAAAAAACCCAGGTACAGCAGCAATCAGGAGGACAAGATGGAAAGATTATTTTTGTCCTTACCCAGAAAAATCAGCGGAGTACTGTCCGTAATCAAAGATATAGACTCTAGTAATTTGGCACACAGTGAGGTATCCCAAAGCAAAAACAAAGCAATACCTGGAAAATGGAAAAATAAGCTTTTCAGTTAAAAACCATTAACATTTCTCCATTGAACAAACTACCATTTCAGTTTCCATAATTGGAGTGTGTAATTACACCTTCATTCTGGTTGGGCTTTTTTGGCAGTATTTATTCTATGCAAGCACAACAACTTATTTTTAATAATGCTGTGTACAGTACTCACAAATTCTATTGTCGTTAGCCAAAATATTTATTCCTGTAATAAAACAGGGGATTTACAATTTCAAGTATCACTGTAAAAACTGGAAGTCCTATAAAGAGAAAATTAATCTGTAAAGTTGGGAGTTTTTTAGTTCAAAGTTAGTTTTTCTTTGAGCATAAAAATGTGGCAAATTACACATCAAACAATTTCAATTAAATGTATTTCTATACATCCAAAATTCAGCACCACAAATCCCACTGCTGCTCCTTCCAAAGGAACTGGAAAAGGCAATTTTCAAGTACAACTATTAAAAGACATCCACGTGAAAAAGGAAGAGAATGCATTCATGCCTCCTGTAAAAGTTGATCCTCAGCAAATTAAGAACCACCTTACACAAGCATTATAAATTCAATTTCACATGTAATTTTTTTAGATCAGGGGTGGGATTCCCCGGCCTTTTTAACATGTACATCTGCACACTAGTGAGAACCGATTTGCCGGTACACCTCACAAAACCTGCCAGATATTCTTCACAGTTAAAAATAATGGGGAATGCCAGCAGCAATTTAACTAATCCCATATGACTTTATGTATGAACTTCACAGTCTTGAAGATTTCCAGATAACTTGGGAAACATTAATGGTAACGTAATCAACCACTTGTGTCATGTTCACAAGACTAATGTGCAACCCCTACAGCAGACCATATTACACATTCAGAATTCATACACCAAATGGAAAATCATGATGACTAGGACTTGGGCGAAACAGTGAGGGACACTACAGGAAGACCTTGGAACATGCTTTTCCTTCCTTTTCCTAGTAAGTATTTTTGCCAAAAAAAGTGTCAATGTAAATAATCCTAAAGTCTTGGCAATTATTCTTTAATCTGAAAGTTGCTGTACAGAACATTTGCAGTTTAACCTTTAATTAGCGGTTGTGCTAGATATAAATCATGTCACATGTTAAAACATCCAACCTCCAAATTACAGATTACCTTATATATCAGTAGCTACATTAAACCACACTTTCTTTTGGGGGAAAAAAGCCCCAAAATAAAACAAATCAAACATATTTAGGGTGCCTGTTTTAGCAACAGATTCTTTTCTGTTTTCATAAATATTAATAATCCAGAAACAGTATTAGATTGGATGGCTAGCTGGTACAAAAGTATGATAAGAATCCAATGAAATTACAAAATAATTGGCTTATATACTAAATTATTTCAGCAAGAGAAACAACTTAACACAACGAAATGGGTAGGCAGAGGACTGCAGGTATCAGGAACGTGGCACAATGTAGACCTCTAAAATTTTGGGAATTAAGATTTTTCTCAGATATTTTAAGAAAAACTACCCACCCCACCACCCCCCAAACCCCAACAAACAAAACCCAGGTTTCACACGGATGAGGAGTATGGGGGCTCGATTTGCTATTCACTAAAAATTCAGTATGACTTTCAGCTTTACCAACCTCTTGATTTACATGGTCAACAATCCCAGATTAAAAGTAACTCGTTATGTGCAGAGATAACTACATGCTCAGCCACAGATACCATACTAAGCAGCCAAGAAAAAAAACGCACTGTAGTTCTCTTGAAGAGCATCTGACTTTACCCCCACTGACGAGATCATGTATTCATTAACAACAGCCTATTCACAGTATATTATATAAAATATAATATATATGATAGTGTATATATATTTATATATAAAATATAATGTATATATATTCACAGTATATAAGATATATATTTTTATATCTTATATATGATACATATAATAGTATATATAGTATATATAGTGTGTATATATATAAAAAATAGTATAAAATAAACAGAATTGCAAAAGTATCTAAATACAGCTTTCATAAAGTGCTATCAATAGCAGCAATACCTACTTTGTTAGGATGAGAAACACCCTGTGTTATTAGGTCCAGACCCTCAGATGGAAGAAAACAGACAGCAGTTTCTACCTCATATAGTTTATGTTTTAAAACATTTATGCTGTATTTAAACAAGGTATCACAAAGACTTCCTTTTGCAAGCAGGAAGGCTATGCTGGTAAGTACAACTGAAAGCAAACTAATGAATATCCTATTCACTAGTAAAGCACTGAGAAGTCAGGAAACCTTAGGTTCTTTTCTATATAGTTATTATGATACAATCCTATGTGAACATGCAACTGCAAATTTCTGTCTCGCTGAAGAAACACATCATTATCCTTGATATCTTTTAAAAGCTTGGCATTCAAGTTCAAGATACATCCGGTCATTTTACTTATTGCATACCTTCCACATGCTGCACTCAAGAAGCTTGGGATTTCCCCATGAGCATTTCCTCAGTTATTCTCCATGCATTCAAGTGTTTCATAAAAATTGCATTCCTCTTTAAAATGAATTTTGTGATACTCAATATTACCCCAGCTCTACATATATGAGGAAACTGAGAAACAGAGAGATTACATGGGTCTGAATACCAAGCTGGGGAGATGCAAGGCCAATTACTGGGCAAACTTATCTGTTATAAAGTTGACAGAAAGGACAACACCAGTACTTTTCAGTCACACATGCACAAATCTATTCCCAGGCGTTCCATGAAAGGTGAAGGATTGATTATATTTGTAGCTAATAGTAGTAGTTTAAATCACATTGTAGTGCCCTGCACTTAGGAATAGACTGAGGCAGTGATTCTACCCAATTAAGGAACAGTGAAAAGTGCAGGGCAGTTAAAGGTTACTTCTTCATCTGCAGGTTCCTGTGGCTTAAATGCCTTCCAGCTTCTACAGCACGTTAACTTTCTGCAATGAAATGACTGGCTTGGAACATGAGGGAAGAGCAGTGTATATTGTCTATTGACTTCAGAAAAGCTTCTGATGCTTGATATTCGCATGGACAAGCTGATGATGTATGGGGCTGGATGGGCAGACAGTCAAGTTGATTGAAAAGAAGCTGAACGGCTGATTTTAGAATGTGGTGACCAGTGGCACAAAGTTGAATTGGAGGTCAGTAACTACCTGTGTACCCCAGAGGTCAATACTGGGTCCGAGCCTCTAGCATCTTCATTTATGATTTGGATGATGGGGCAGAGTGCAGTATCAGCAAGTTTGATAGTGACACTGAAGTGTGAGGAGTGGCCAATACACCAGAAGACCTTGCAATCATCCAAAGGAACCTTGGCAGGTTGGAGAAATGAACTGACAGGAACCTCATGACAGTCAACAAGGGGAAGTGCAAAGCCCTGCACCTGGCGAAGAACAACACTAGGCACCAATGTATGCTGATAGCCACCCAGCTGGAAAGCAGCTTGGCAGAAAAGGACCTGCAGGTCCTTGTGGTCACAAAGTTGAACATGGGGCAGCAACACATCCTAGCAGTCAAGAAGGCAAGAGGGAGGGACAGAGCTTTCCCAAAATCTTTCAAAAAAAAAAAAAAAAAGACCAAAACCAAACCACAACATCATGTGCTGTAACACTTGAGCAGGAACCCAGCCGGCACCTTGCCTTGAGAAAGCCGGAAACATTTGTCAGAGCTAACATCTACTATCCTTCACAATACCCTCTTCCAAACCAAAACCTACCTTTACTATGAAAAGCCCAGGTAGTAAGAACAGTGAGAAAATTAACACATCCTTTCTTGCCTTCATGATTATACAGCATTTCTCTGGTTTTGGAGCATGCTGACCAAAATGTCAACCACATAGGTACTTCAAGATTCCCTGGAAATAAACGTTAGCCATCATGACTGACATGGGCTAATTTTTCACAATTCAGTTAATATCCATGCTGAAGTTACAGCACAGAAATGGAGGAAAAATAAAAGACAACTTAAGCTCCTCATTGAGATTCCAGATTCCATTGGACAATATAAACCAAAATCTGTCTTCCCACAGAACAGTGAAACTTGTGTTTGGTGAATAAAACATAGCAACAACTGTGAATTTTAACTATCTTCCAACTATGTGAGCCACCCGCTCCAAGTTACACACAGCTTGGAAGACTTCAATTTTGCAACTGATGAGGAAAAGACAGGATCTTGCAACCCATACAACGCTTTTCACCTCCCAAGTGCATCTCTGCATATTAGCCATGACACATTACATCCCTCGTTGATGTAGACCAGTGAAAGTTCAGCAACAGGCTCTCCCTGCAGGAGACAAAGTTTACAACAGCTTGTGTCATCCTGTTGTTTCTCCTGCAGGTTTGTGGTGTAACTTGCTCACCATCTTCACTCTCATACAAATCCAGCTTTACTTGGAAAAACTCAAAACAGATCCAAAAGTGCTTTGAAAACTTTAAGTATTGTTACTGCTTCTTACCCTCTTCAAAGACTCATTCTCCAAAACTACCCCTGAGATCAGAAAGTTGAGTAAGGTTTTACAGAGCTCATCAACCTGAAGTTTTACCCAACTACAATACAATTAATTAGAAGCTGTACATGAATGCGATGGTTTTACCCAAGGGTAAGTTTTTCCTCCAGAAAAGCAATTGGTCTTAAAAGTCAAAGTTACTCTACACCTGCTACTTGGTGAATAATGTATTTAGTATGTTCTGTCCATAAAAGTCTACCATTACTTTAAAAGAAACATACCAAGTAAACTAGTTTAAAAAGTATATTCTAATATATTATATATCAATTATAACTTATACTACATAGACACAATACATAGCAAACACTAAGTAAGCAGCCTTTCCAAGTAGTACTCTACAGAAAGTGCACATCAAGAGAATTCTATTTTAAAAAAGAACCTTCTACTAGCAAAGAAATTATTCTGTATTATTTCTTGTCCAGTCATCTTGTCAAATAACATTAATCAACAGAAATAAGTTTCTTACCTG